TCACATTTCTTCGCAGGTCTGTAAAGCAAAGGAAAGCTGAAATAAGATGATAAGCACAGTCACAGTTTCACTTAGCGACCACTTTACTTAACAACTCAGTTGCTGGTCCCAATTGTGGTGCTAAACGAGGACTACCTGTACATATTAACCACACTCACCTATAACATCCAACTGCATTGGTACTGTATGTGAGGCATAATTTACTCTATCACCACAATGATCACATATTTCAGATAAAAGGATACAATAATGCTCACATCCCTGTGTGGCTGGTAACCACAAGTGACTGGCTTTTACCAGCAAAAGTGTTCGCCTTTAGTCTCTATTTTTGGTTTTCTGTATCTTTTCTAGTCTATAATTCCCGAAGTAGGAATAGGTTAAGGTAAACAAAGAAAACTGTTAAAAGTAATAGAGATGGATTCTTTATCATACTTCTGATACTTCCCACCTCCCTACTGCATGAGAACCTATTTCCACATGTCTATTCCAAGCCAGAAAGCTGTCCGAAACTTCCAGCAGAGAAGTTTCAAGAGGCATGGTGAAGCTCATTCCCAAGAGGATGGTACCCGAGGCTTCTATGCAAGCTTTTGGGCCAATGTTTGCTACAAGTATGGGAATCGTTTTCTCAACGGGTGCAGGAACTGTGCCAAAGAATCAACCCCTCCCACTATATGAAAAAGTATTCTCACATTCACAGGAGTCATTTGCTCAGCAAGCAGCTTTTGGTATCACCCGCTTGAATAAGATGCTCCTCGCATCTACTGAAACCATCACATTTGGAGAGCTGGTGCAGCTTTTCATCATGGGATTTGTGTGGAGAAGTATGCTGTATGTGCAATTATTGAAGAAAGAGGCTTAAATAATTAATTAGTAGAGAAATGGAAGATAATATTAACAAATGTATAGTACCTCAACTTGGTGCCCTCCAGATATTTCATCTCCTATAACCCCCAGTTAACATGGCTGGAACCTCAACCACCATGGCTGGGTCGTGGTGGAAGGATTATGGAGATTGAAATTCAACATGTCTGAATGGCACCCTGGTTAGGAAAGGCTTTACGAAAGAATTTGTCTTTCATTTTTAGAAAAGGCTATTTGAGTCCACCTTCATGTTGTATTTTAGCAAGTCAGGAAGAGAAGGGAGGGATCAGATCTTTACGGTCTCAGAAGAGACTGAAAATTATGGGGAATATAAGGGTTGTGTCTGTTAATCTCATCTTGACTCTATTCATCCCAACAAAATACCATAGTGACAAACCAGACAGCTAGTTAGTTATTTATTGAGTTATATATTTCAAACAATTAATGTAGGTATAAAGACACCATTTTTTGCAGATAAGGTGTGTTTTAGCGTAGTAGCTTTCTCTAGGGCGGTGTGAAATTTCCATTTATATTAATTTATATTCCAGAAATTATACTGGCAAAACCTGTCTATTTAGATGCCTCCACAAGTTATCGCTGTTTTAAGAGTTTGGAACTGTTGCTTTTTTAATTTAAAGCTTTAATGAAATTACAAAACACCTACTTAGAATCAGAAAGTGCTATCACCTCTCTTTGGCCTCTCCCATTGTTATCTGTCTTAATTTCAACTATGAGTCCTTCTTGAGGAATAGATATGATAGCTTGTTATTTATTTTCTTAGCACAGTTGGAGTTGATTTGCTTCCGTTTATTTATATACTTTCTCTTTTTCTTAGCTTCTTTTCAAGAATGTCAAATCTCTATGATTGCCATGTGATCTCTGGATTATTACAATGATTATCTGTGCAGTTGTTGAGGAATGCAGCCCATTATCTCTGTGGGACTTCTGTGAAAATAAGGGGAAGCATCATAACTTTCTTTTTTAAGCTGTGCTTTACCCTACTGCAGAGACATAATTTATAATACCAGATAGTATAACATGACATATTTTCATTTATTTAGGCGGCAGTATCAGACCAAGAGGCATAATCCTTGAATATCACTGCCAAGACAGGTTTCTGCTCCATGGAACTTATCATCGAAATTCCAGTAGAAGAGATGTGGGTGTGGAGTGATAAGACGATACAGACAGGAACAAAAGGCATTCTGAACAACTTCTAGATATTAAGAATTTCAAAAGAAAAGGCAGTGAAAGAGCAAATTCCAGGCTGAGCTAACTTTCTAGTACTTACTGAATCAGCACTTAGTTATCTTCATAATTTATCACCTGGTTTTTGCACTCCCTAAATGTTCTGCCACCAAAGTTTTCAGATTACCAGCTCTTCCATCTCTTAAATTTTTACAGTGTGTTTCTGTATGAAAGCAGGACATTTCCAAGCTGTATTTCATGTATTCAGATCTATGCTGATAATCACAGCACTATAATTAAGAGCAAGTACGATGCTAGCATTTGCAGAGAATGGCGATCCTCATGCTAGCCAATGGGATTTAACAAAAATAATGTCATCTTCCTCCACAAAAGTAGAATGAAATAATGTGCTACCCACTTTTCCCATCCATGTCATTTGTCTGATGCTCTGTGTGTGTGTGTGAGAGAGAGAGAGAGAGAGAGAGACTGACTTTTTAAGAGGTAGCTATGTGGAGGGTAGGGTTAGAGTTGGGGAAATCAGTGGGTAGTTACCTGGCTAGGTAACATCTGAAGATAATGAAATGTTTGCAAGCAAACAACCAAGCTCAGAGAACCCCAAGGATTCCATAGTTCAACCCTGAGCTACATGTATTCTCTTCTATTGGTATAAATACACACTCCTGACATATAGCAGCAGCTCCATAGTTGTGGTAGTATAGCAGTAGCCTGCAAGCAGAAACTCTTCAGGTGGTTATAATCATGGTGTTATGATAAAATCAGCATTTTGGCCTCTCTGGCTTATATTCAAAAGCCTTTATGTGGTGACACGGTGTTTACTCTGCAAATGAGAAAGCTAAAAAAAGATTATTTGTAAAAATGCATACACACACGCACACAAAACAGATTGTGACTGTTTCATGAACCATAGATTAAACCTCTGGGAGAGGGTGGAGAGAGAAAGCTGTTTGATTAAACCAGTTGTATCAGCTCTGATGTACAAGTAAGCATGGACTGGATTGCCCTGTAGACCTGCAGCCCTAGATACTCTTACTTGTGCATACATTTTCTGTTTCCCTGGCTTTTCCAATTCCCTTCTTAAAAGTGTGCTGAGCGAGGTGGAACATATTAAGCAAACCTGCCAGGTTGATGCTCAAGCCATCACGAGGAGACAATTTGGTTGGACTCCTTAAGAGAGAGATTATTCTGCTGTTTCACAATTGCTTGCGAGACTAAACTGAAGTAGTAGTAAAGGGAAAGATGCCCATGAGTCAAGCTCACCATCTGGGGATCACATGGGAACAAGGATGCAGTTTTCTTAGCCACAGTAGGGAAATGACTTGTCCTGGCCTTCTTTTGAGATACTTCTAAAATTTCCCACTCTAGTCTACAGCCCTGGTATTCCCGTCTGTACTAATTAAGTCCGAACTTGTTTAGGCTCCCAGGCCAAATGAAGTTGGCAGAGTGCTGCCCCTTGCTGAGACTGTGTCACATAAAATAGCCTAAAAATGACCCACCAGATAATCAAGGTGTGAAATCCTAGATTCATACTATCCATCTTAAAACTAAAGGTGCTTCATGCGATACAGACTAAGGATCCTCCCTGAAGCCAATCAGAAGTCCTTCGTGTTCTGTATCCCTATCAAACTGCTTTTTAAAGACCCATATTGTAGAAGCTACTGCCCAGAAAAGTTTGGGATAAACTTAAAAAAGCTGGTTGTAAGCACATTTGTCTTGCTACCCGCTATGCAAGTAATGTCCAACCCGGATAAAATAGCTGTCTACAAAAAGAGGCTATTTGGTTTATAGAGAAACCCATCTACCCAAAGAACGTTGATTTTAGAATGGGGATATTGAAATAATTTGGGGGAATTGATTTGCGTTATGTAGTAACATTTAGATGTAATGTTATGGGGAAGGCAGTGGCTGCTTTATCCGTAGGCTGGATAAAAATTTAATAGGCATATTTCGGATGCTATTGTACTTATCCAAAAAAAGAGAGAACCTTGAATATAAGACGGCCCCCAAAGAAAGAATAAACAGGAAAACAGTTATAAACACAGCCAAAAAATCCTGTATAATGCCCTGTTTCCCCACATCAGCAATTGATGGTTGAAACCAGAAGGATCTGCAAGGGGACTGGGAGTGGGGAGATGATGAAAGTAACGTTGCATCGCTGTGGTACAAAGCTCTGTCCTTTGTACATGCATTGTGATCTCATGCACATTTAAGAAAGGAGTAGAACTTTTATAGCCTAATGTTGCTGCTTTCATTTTGATTAAAGCACCTGATACTGCAGATGCCTCTGGCCCAAACTAATCCTGAAGATGCCCCCACTTCGCTGAATATATGTGTATATGTGACATATATAAAAATAAATATAATTTGTATGTTTGTGAATAAATGGATATATAGACCTAGCAGAAACCACACACCCCAGAAAGGGCAGGGCCAGGTCAGAAATATAAATGTATATTAGTTGAATTAATAACTGCTAATTAAAATTCTTCGCCTGTGAAATGAGATACCCTATTTCCCAAATTAACTGATCCTCATCTGCATATACCAACCATTCTCTTTCACAGACCACAAACGTATCCCTCCTTCCTTCCAGCAGGAATAACAAAAAAGAAGGAAAAGAATGGTTTAGACATTACGCAAAGGGTTAAATTCACCGACAAACAGCCCCTCCCAAGCCATGGCTACCTTCAAAGGCATCTAGGCTTTTTAGCCAATTGCAGTCAGTTTGCACTCCATGTCCATTTTTCCTTGAACTTATTCGTTAACTTATCAGCCAATGTAAAGCAACAACATTCCTACTTATTCACAGATCATTTTGGGGAGGGGGGCAAAGTATCTTTTTATCCCTTAAACCGGGTGATGTTTATGTTGGGGCAGCAGCAGCAGGAGGCAGAAGATCCTTATAGTCTCCTCCACCTGTTAATAATCCACAGGTCCAAAGTCTGGAACAGCACAACCAAGTCCTGCTCACGAGATGGAACTTTTTGAAAGAACAAGACAGCTCCCTTTCTGATTTGGACATCAAACTCCTCTACGACCGCTACATGAACAAACTGAATCTCGAAATCCGATCGATCGATGTGGAGAAAGAACAGCTGGACTCAGAACTTGATGAGGTGCTAGCTTCTATGGATGTGTTCCGAAGCAAGTGAGTCTCTTTACTCTTTTTCTTCTTGTCCTGCACAGGTTTGGTCAACCTATCTATAAAGCCTTTCTGTTTTGCCTGTCTCTAACCTCTATTGTTGGGGTTATATTTATGCGCATTAAGAATTACATTCCTACATACTTCATAAACAAAATTATGCCAGAAGGCCTCTATTTACCTTGCAATGTAAAGTTCCGAGTGATCTTGAAATAGGAAAGGCAATCGTTATGTTCTGTGTTGCAGAGTATTTTTTTTTCCTAATGGACTTTTTGTGGTCATGCCAAGCATAACCCCCTCGATTCCTGCCTCTTTCTTTACTCCTGAAAACATTGTAGTTGGTTGCTCAGCCAAAGGGCTTAGAAGAAGTCCTGCGACTAATTCAGCACTGTTAAGGCTGTGGTATCAGGGTAGGCTTTTCCCTAATGCCAAAATGGACTTTCCCGATTCCTCTTTCACTGGATCTGTGAACAGCTTCTAAGGAAAGATCAGGTTACCCAAAGCCACATTCTTGATATTATGGGGCCTGTAGGAAAGATGATTCCCTTTGGAGACACAAACCAACCCCATAATTTTAGAGTTTGGTTAATGAATAATGTTCTTAACCTCATGTTGGTTTGATGGATAAGTGGGTATTGTATGCTGGTTGAAAAGCCAGTGCATGAAGTTCAATCAAAGAGAAAAGAAATGTGAGAAGCAAGGAGATAAACATGTAATTATGTATAAATTCAATATGCCATCTCCAGTGTCTCACTCCTCAACCTTTCTTTTACTTCTTTCTGTATGTTTCTTCTTGGGTCCTACATTCTTCTAATGACAACCTCCTACTTAAGCTTAAGATTATAATATGGTTATTCCCCCCACCCTCCTTTTCTTCCTATCTACCTGAGAGCATGTTTTTCTTTTTCTACTACCAAATCCACAACCAAAAATGTTTTAAGAAGTACCTCTTTACTGAATGATCTCCCTTTTTCTTTTCTTTTGTATCCCTCTATAAGCTGCAAGCAAGGCCTCTCTTCAGCTTTCTATATTTAATATTTTTATTATGCATAACACTTACATCTCTTTTGTAAATAATAATTAATAACATGCATACCCATAAATAGCCTCTTTAAAAAAGATACATGAATGCAGATTGCAGCCATCTGAATCATAAGTCTGATTTACCAGTGTTCCGAAGGTGAACCTAGATGAGAGGATTGCCAGAAAGATTAGCGGATAAAACTGATGATAGAGATGGGAAGGGTATATTTTGTTTAAAAACCGAAATAGAGCCAACTGATGATTAAGTCTATTAATTCAGATCTGATTTAACAAACGCTGAAGGCAATTTTATTATAAAGCTGAAATTAGAATAGGTTAATTTTCAACATAACATTTTAAATTTAGATTTTTTTTTTTTTTTAACTGTAGAAATATATCCAATTTACCACCATAGACCCAAATGTCAGCAAAACATTTCTTATATTCTTCACATAAGCTGCTCTCCTGGATTAAAAATGAAAATCGGTACATAACGCAGACACAAGTGTGATGCCCAGATGGATTTCTACAGATTTTAGGGAGGATTAACACAGTTTTACATTCCTGAATGCTTTGTTTTGGCTTGGCTTGGCTTGGCTTGACTTGACTTGGCTTGAGTGACATGAAGCTGATTAAGAAGAGTATAATTTTTTTAGCCTTTACTTAGATCAGATTCCCATCTTATTTTGTTCAGTAAAATAAGTATTCCTTAAAGCTAGGCTCCCCAAAAGATAAGATTACCGCAATTCTTCACATGAGTTTCTAGCTATTCAGTCTTCCATCAGTAACGCGCCCACATTTTCCCACTGCTTCTTTAGATAGGAATGGCAGTGGGAAACTATGCAAGGGTTACCAATGGAAGACACTACCCTCTAAGCCCCTGAAAGCATCTGAGGATTAAGCAAGATGCTGCACAGTGAAAGCCTCAGTGGGAAGCACATCTTGAAAAGGGACATGTGGTTGTCAGGCAATGTGACAGCTCAGCCCCTACCCTTTTCCCAGCCAGTTTTTGTGGCTGATTTGGCCAAGGAATGGGTGATGCACTGCTTCAACACTGGATACAACTAGATGGCCATGTTGAAGTGCTGCCCTCCAAACTGTCAACCAGCAGAAGAATATGATGGCATAAATTGCATTGTCCTTATTGACGGTCCCTGTGCCGCCTTGGTCATGAGGCTGGGGAGTGGAGCTGTCCTTCCTGTTTTAAGGTGAGTGAGACTAGTAAAAGAAAATGATAGCTATCCACCAACATTTCCCTGGCTTTGTTTCCCCTCCCACTGAGTGTCACCAACCAACGGGAGAAACAAGCACTGACTGTTCTTAATGTGGGCTGAGGTGGGGATGGGCAAGTGTAGGTAGAGATTTATCATGGTTGGTTTACCAATCAGTCAAGTTGCCCAACTAACAGGTTGCTGGCATGAAAATGCTCATAATGTGGTCTAGCACTTTTCTGAAAGAGTGCCAAACTGTGTCCAAAAATAGCCCAGCTGACAGATCAGAGCTGGGGAGGAAGGGCGAAGCAGGAGACTCCAGTTGCAAGGGAGGAAGCAAGCTCTGCCCTCCGCTGGGACTGCAAGGGAAAGGGAGTGGGGGCGGGGAATGGCCTTGGCTGGCAGCGTTGGGAGGAACCTGTGGAGTAGGCAAAATGATGGAGCAAGCGAAATTGCTTCCCTTCAAAGGAATAAAAACAGTAAAATGTAGGCCATACGCAATCCTTTGTCAGCAAAAGCCATGGAAAACCTGTAATGCACTCCTTGATGACAGACGGGCACAGCCCATCCCTCTCTTCCTGCTTAAGTCAACCTTCCATGCAGCAGAAGAGCATTAAACCTGTGCATACGAAGAGCCCGTGCAAAACCTGACAAGCACGTCATAAAGCACCTCCTTTGTGGAATTTTATATATTTCTGCTTGTAACCCTTTCATTTTCTGTTTGTAACTCTCTCTTCCAAGTTCCCGTTATTTGACTTAGCACAGAAAATCTGGGATGAAGGGAAGGGAAGGGAAGGGAAGGGAAGGGAAGGGAAGGGAAGGGAAGGGAAGGGAAGGGAAGGGAAGGG